TATATATGCTCCGTGAATGTCAGCTGGATGACTTTACACATAAAACTTAAGTGATGATAATAAAGATGATGAAGGCGGATGAATGCAGGCTTTCACTGCCTGGATCCCCGTCCAGGACTGAAGCATGTCGTCATTCCTCTGCTGTGGGAGTACTGGTGAACTGGACGGTAAATACTAGAAGTGAGTGCTCTGTGGTTTGAGAACGAAAGAGTAAACAATAATTATTATAAGGACTATGGAATTTCACATCTTTTGCTGGGGGATATCAATGCTTCCCAGAAAATAAATGAAATGCTGAAAGTGATTCATCACTAAGTATGAAAGTATCACAAAGTATGAAATCCAGAGGACCTCTTTGGCAGAGACTCCTATATCCTCCAACTCCAGAGAAGACTGAACTATCAATCTAAGCCTCATGTGTTTTGCCAACATCAAGACCCTGGTTGAGAATTATTAGAATCTGAGATGTGGGCTGGGATATAATTGGGTCAATGCACTTGAAAATCCTGAACCCTGAGGTTCCCTTGAAAAATCTAGTCTGCTCTTTACAGGTAAAGGTTTGAACTCGCCTCTTGCCTGAAAACCAAACAGTAATGTTTGCCTTAGAAGACAACATATATCCCTGCTTAGGATATACTCCAACTCTCTTCCTGGCCATTATGCTGACAACTAGGTCTAGGTTACAACACAGCCCAGCTGAGTTAACTGTGACCTAAATTTGGTCATTAGCAAATGGCCAGTAGGAGAGGTAGTGTATATCCTCCATCCAATGGAGCTGCAGGAGCTAGCCAACAACATGTACCCCCAGGAGACAGGAGAGAACACCTGGGCCAGGATTCTGAATGTGCTGGTTGAGAGGGATATATGAAACATAAAATTAGGAAGTTGAGAAGGCATGAAATATGAAGTTAGATAAGGGAAATGTTATTGGCAGAAAAACATTTTCCCCTTATATGGATTTGATTTACTGTCAAGGAACCTGCAAGATGCTGCCTCTAGTATGATGCTAAGGTGACTAGCGGAAGCTCAAACAAGCAGTAGCCCCATAGAAAGTGCTTCTGCCAGATGTAAGACATCTGCAGGAGATTTTTTATTATTATTATTTATTTAGGTACTGGGGATTGGACCCAGGGGTACTCTACAACTGAGCATATCCCCAGCCCTCTTTAATTTTTATCTTAAGACGGTGTCTTGTTAATTTGATGAGGCTAGTCTCAAACTCGGGACCCTCCTGTCACAGGCTTCCAAGTCACTGAAGATTGCATGGTTTCCCACACACCTGGCTTCTGCTGGAGAATATTAACATGACTGATGGGACACCTCATATGTAAACCATAACACATTTATATGGGACAGATAATTATACATATTAATATACTTTCTCTGAGGCTATGCTGACTCTCCCACCCTCTGTCATAGAATAAAAAAAAAATCTGGAAATCCCAAATAATGATATCAATCCAGTATATTAGTGACAACATGTTTATCTAATCAGATTAACAACAAGTGACAAATCCATTAGAAGTCTTGGTAAGTCACATGTAATTCACTGATGGGACATAAATATTTCAATGACTCAGTAAGTGGGTTTTTTGCTTATTTGTTTGTTTGAGGGGGCAGGATAGAAAAATTTCCAGCATTAAAATTATTTCAAGCCAAATAAGTGGAGATGCCTGTAATCCCAATGACTCCAGAGGCTGAGGCAGAAGGATTTCAAGTTTGAAACTTAGTAAGACCCTCAGCAATTAACCAAGACCCTGTCTCTAAATAAATAAATAGCTGGGATGTATTTCAGTGGTAGAGCACCCTTGGGTTCAACCCCTATACCAAACAAAATGAAACTATTTTACAAATTAATCGGGTTGTGAGCTCAAGTGACTTAATAGTAACTCATTTGGGACTGGAAACTAGATTTATTTATATCCTTTGATGATCTGACTCCTCAACTCTCAACTTAGCAAGGCCCTAAGCAACTTAGTGAGACTCCGTCTCAAAATAAAAACAAAAAGGGCTGGAAATGTGGTCTAGTGGTTAAGTGCCTCTGGGTTCAATGTCTGGTACAAAAAAAAAAAAAAACTCAGGGGAACTTTTATGAGGACCAGGCAATACCCTGAGGTGGCCTGAGAATCTTTGACCTCTATGAAATGGAAATGTTGAAGAAGATTTCCAGTTCCTTGGCCCCCCAACCTGCAGAGTGCTCTTATTTCAGAGGCACACATTTCACTTTGATCTTGTGATAATTTTCCAAATTTGTTTTCTCACTGTCATCAGAGCTTGTGGCCAGAAAGGATGAACAACAACAGCAACAGGGAGCACAATGAATCCATTCTAGTCACTCCCAGAGCCTCAAACACCCTACTGGCCAAGAGCAGGCCTATTTTTAATGACATCGGAGAAACTGAGTCAGTTTAGGAGACTCCTCTGGAATGATTAAAATCATCCAAGGAGGGCATTACAGAGCAAGAAGATCCTGATGGAGTCAGTGTGATGCTAACATTAAGGGGCACTGGAGCAACAGCCATAGTGATCCTGAGGGCGTGGGCACCTGCACGTGTGCTCAGGGCTTCACACATGTTAAGCAAGGGATGGGGTATGTCACTGATCTACTCCCCATCTTCTGGGTACTAATCTTAAAGCTCTGTTTACATAGCACTACATTACCTTGTTTTGGTTTTTCTGTTGTTTGTTTCGGCGGGGAGTGGGGGGGGATGGGTGGGTTGTTTTGGACTTTTTTTCAGAGCCAAGAACTGAACCCAAGTTCTCGCACGTGCTAGGCAAGTGCTCTACCCCACCAACGCCAAGATTGCATTCTACAAATATTAATGTAGGAAGGCTTCACAAAATTTCTGTTCACATTTCATAAGAAGGAAAAACTCTTTTTTGTTCAAGATGCAAATTTTGAGGAGGAAATAGACAATAATTTCAAATGTCAAGGATCAGAGATGAAATAGAGCTGAAAAAAGGGATTTGTGTGCACTGCTGACCCTCAAAGAGCAGTACCTTAGTGTTGGGACAGACCCCAGATTACAGAGCTGCAAGAGCCAGAAGCACTGAGCTAAGTGAGCTCAATGGAGCTTTCTCAAGGCTCCAGGAAGTGTAAGCAGAGAGGGCCTGGCTATTAGCTATCCTGGGTATGAGTAGCCTGACAGCACTCCTATTTATTGAGCTTCAGCTGTGTCATTTCCTAGATATGTGCACATCACATATATTTCCACATTTAATCCTCACACTACTTCATGAGATGAGTGAAACCCTACCCATCTTGCTAATGAACTCATTTGCTGAATGAGTTCCAAAGAGGTTAACTTTCTAGTAAGCAGGAGTTAGAACCCATCTGTTTCCAAAGCTCTTTTTACAACAGTCACATGCCTGGTAGAGCCAAGGGAGGGTTGACTAGTTGTTATTTTAAGAAAGGAGAGGCTTAGGCACGGTCATTGGCGGAAAGGAATAAATCCTCCCTAATGCCTATGCAAAACCTCCCACTCTGCCACTCTTGTCTTACCAGCTCACTCTCTAGTTCCTGAATTCCAAATGTATTTCACCCTACCAATATCTGGTCTGAGAAGACAGAGGTGGGGCCAGGTGGGACCAGGTGGAGTGAGAATGTGGTTAATGGGAATCACAATAAGCTCAACCTGCCTAGTTTGGTGGCACACTGCTATGATCCCCACTAGTCCAGAGGCTGAGTCTTAAGAATCACAAATCTGAGACCAGCCTCAGCAACTTAGCAAGACCCTATCTCAAAATAAAAATAAAAAGGAATGGAGATGTAGTTCAGTGGTAAAGTACCCCTGCATTCAATCCCCAGTACCGGGAAAACCAAACAGAACAAAAACAAACATCAACTATCTTTTTTCACATGCTTTGTCTTCAGGACAAGTCAAGCTGTAAGAAACATATTTCCCACTGCAAATGTGTGATCTACATTGTGAGCTACGTCAGTTTTCTGTTTATTAAAATACAGCTGGGCACAATGGTGCACACCTCTAATCCCAGCAGCTTGGGAGGCTGAGACAGGAGAATCAAAAGTTCAAGTCCAGCCTCAACAATTTAGAGAGTCCCTAAACAATTTTTTGAGACCCTGTCTCAAAATAAAGAAAAATTAAAAGGGTTGGGGATCCAGTTCAGTGATAAAGTGCCCCTGGTTCAATCTTTAGTACCAAAATAAAATATCTATAGATAGGACTCCAATCAAGAGTGGGCACTTGCTCCAGCCATTTTTCCCAGGACTGTTCCTATTCTTTACGTCCAAATCCATATAGCATTAGCAACTGGAATCACCTCCCAGCTCCCTCCCCCTAAGCCCCCAACCCCAGAAGCACTAACCAGATCATATAGCACCTTGGACACCTGATTCCCTCAAAAGAAAAGTGAAAGGGAAGCAGGAGGGAAGAATCAAAAATTGAAAGATCAGTTTGGTACTAGGCACTAGGCATCCTTTACATATACTGGTTCATTTAAGCCTCACATACCCACTCTGAGTTATGTATTAGTGAAATAACTGAAAATACTACTTGATAAACAAAATCATTTATCTGAAGATCTGAATTTAAGGTGAATAGGTGGGAGTTTCAGACCTGAAACTAGCTTTGCCTGGTCCTGGAGTCTGGGTCCGCCATTGGGAATTGGAACATCTGGATTGGGTCCCACCTAAAGTGCATTCTGGCCAAATGGTCTGAAGCACAAAAATGTCCTCAGCATAAGGCAATTTCACCTCTCCAAAGTCCTCAGCCCAGAACTAGGCTGTTGGAGTTTATAGCCAATGATTTTATTATGGATCCTAATTTCTTTAGCAAAGAAACATCTTGAACTGGTCATGAACAAAGTGACTTTCTCTGACCAGTGAGCAGGTGGCTATTCCATTTCCATCCTCAGAACTGACCTCCTGCTGCCCAGGGAGGGGGAGTGGGGAGAAGGGAGGGTGAGGAGAGCCTGATGTCACTCAGCCCTACATAAGGGCCTCTTTTAGGATCCTGCAGGCAATTTGGAAGCAGCTGGAGGAGCGAGTTAGGTCCTGGTTGTGGGATTTTTTTTTTCTTTTTAAAGACAGACACAAACACAGCTGTTGGGTAAAAATGCCGCCTCCACAGAAAATCCCAAACCTCAAACCTTTCAAGCAGAGGAAGAACTTAGGTAAAGTTCTTGGGGGAGCTCGCTGGGTTACCAGAGAAAAAAGCAGAGCAAAAGATGCAGCCTGCTCTTACTGTCTACTTATTCTTTTGTACTTGAACTGTTCGCAGCAACCAGACAACAGGAAGTTGCTGGAATCCGGGCAAAGTTCCCAAACAAGATCCCGGTAAGACTCCATTGTACTTCCTTAGTGGGGCCTGGGATCCTGTCCTCTGATTAAATCAAGACCCGCTGGAGGCCTCCCTCCTCTGTTCCAAGTTCCTAGCACTGAGCTCTGAATTTCATTCTGAAGGGCTGAAACTCTTGACAGGTGATAGTGGAGCGCTACCCCAGAGAGCAGTTCTTGCCCCTGCTGGACAAAACCAAGTTCCTGGTCCCGCAGGAGCTGACCATGACCCAGTTCCTCAGCCTCATCCGGTAAGTGACAGTGCACGCAGGTGCTTGTGTGTGTGTGTGTGTGTGTGTGGTGTGTGTGTGTGTGTGTGTGTGTATGTGCCTGTGCAAATGCCTGCTGTACGTACCTGGGCCTTTTCTTTGTTCTTTGGTTGTTTGATTTGGGGGGGTGGGGGGGAGGCCTACAGGAGAAGATAGATTGGTTTTTGTGACTCATCTTTATATTTTGTAGTATCCTGAAAAGATACTCTTAGAACTACTCTATTTTAAACAGGTGGGGAAAACCCCCCAGACAACAGTTCTAAAAATCTGCCAAGATTTCTAAGAATTTCCTAAAGTAGTCTTGGCTCCAAGGTACTCCAGAAGAGCCTTTCTTTCAGATACCATCTGAAACCTAGTCTGTCTGTCCCCTGGAGCAATTCCTCCTCCAAGTGTTTGTGCGCCTGGAGGAGCCGGACCTTTTCAGAGGGGAAGGGCTTTTTGCACTGCTCAGAAAATGAAGTTGGAGCATAAGACCCTCTCCTTCCTTTGGTTTAAGGTAAAGGCACAGCCAAGAAAATGCAGCTAGTTTTAAAGTATGAGAGAGCCGGGCGCGGTGGAGCACACCTGTAATCCTAGTGGCTCTGGAGGCCCAGACAGGAGGATCGCAAGTTCAAAACCAGTCTCAGCAATGTCGAAACACTTAACAACTCAGTGGGACCCTGTCTCTAAATAAAATACAAAATAGGGCTGGGGATGCGGCTCAGTGGTTGAGCGCCCGAGTTCAATCCCCAGTACCGCCCCCCAAAAAAAGTGTAAGAGGGTTAAGATGAAAATGTGGAGAAAATAGAGACAGTGGGGAAGTCTTTTTCTTGGTATTTGAGTTTGAACCCAGGGGTGCTTTTCCACAGAGCTACATCCCCAGTTCTTTTCTTTTTAAATATTTGTCTATTTATCTATTTATTTATTGGTACCGCTGAAACAGAGGTGCGTTCCATCCCCAGCGCTTTTTATTTTTTATTTTGTGACAGAGTCTCGCTAAATTGCTTAGGACCTCCCTAAATTGCTGAAGCTGGATTTGAATTTGCAATCCTCCTGCCTGAGGTTCCCAAATTGCTGGGATTACAGGTGGCACCATCTGCCTAGCTATTTTTATTTTTATTTTTTTAGGTACCTGGGACTGAACCCAAGGGGCACTTAACCAGTTAGCCACATCCTTAACCCTTTTTATATTTTATTTAGAGGCAGAGTTTCACTAAGTTGCTTAGGGCCTCCCAAGTTGCTGAGGCTGGATTTGAACTTGGGATCCTGCTGCCTCAGTCTCCTGACTCTCTGGGATTACAGGCAAGGGCCACTGCACTCAGCTATTTTTTTTTTTTTTTGAGACAGAATCTCACTAAATTGCTGAGGCTGGCCCCCAACGTGCTTTCCCCCAACTCAGCCTCCTAAATCTCTGGGGATAGGGAAGTCTTCATAGTGTTGAAAAGTCTGTTTGGAAGTACACTCTTGAATGTTTGGTTTTAATTTTTTTTTTTTACTCCGTTATATAAAAGCATTCCCATTTTCTCCTCTCAGGGACATTTCTTTGTTAAGGTTAGTCTGGTGTGAATGCAGGTGACTGGAGGTAGAATGAAAGTCAGGGATTATATCCCGGCATCAGGGCTGGGAATGTAACTCAGTGGTGGAGTGCATGCTTGGGGCCATGAGTTCGATCCCCAGCAAGAAAAAAAAATATTCTGGATCCCAACACATTCTGTCAGTACTTAACCCCCCCCACTCCACCCCCCAAAAAAGGTCTTTGAGTTTTGAGACTATTCCCTCCTGTGTCACCATCACTCTCAACTTAGATCTCCATCCCAAATTTGATTCTCCTCAATGATTTGAGTGCCCACTGTGTTCTGGGGTGCTTTCTGGGTTCTGGGATGCAGCCATGAACAGGCTAGATAAAGATCCCCTGTCCATAGCCTCCTCCCCCACACCTCTACCCTCATCAAAAGCAAACCTGCAGAAGATGGATATGGAAGCTCTGAGAACAAGAATGCTTCCTTCCCAGCTGGTGGCAACACTCCCAGCCCCAGCTTTCCCTGCCCCCATTGTAGAACAATTATTTTTTACCCAAAGACAGCTGGACATTGTCAGGGCTGGAACATTTGGCGATATGAGTTAGGTGTCATCTGTGGTGGAGGTGAGTCTGACCTTAATGACTGACTTCACATATTATATGGCTGTAAAATGCATCAGGTTCCAGTCACTCCCATCCATCACTGCCCTGTGGACTTAGCCCTCCTGAAAGTTTAAAGCTCTGATGTTGTGAGTGCCACTGTCACCAATTAAAGTGAACAGAAGTGTGTGCTTAAGGTGAGACTGACCCTTCCTCTGGGTTTCTGTGTTTTCATGCCAGATGAATTGGAACTTAACAGCCTTTGATGTTTAAAGCATGTCAACTTTGCTGCCTCCCTATCTCCTTGATGTCAGGGGAGTAACAGCAGGGTAGAGGAAGGATGCACTTTGAGGCAGAAGATCCCCTCCAATGGCCATTCCCAGGCTGTCCAACAATGAGACAGATGCTGGGGAAGATACTTTTAATGTTGGGGCTTATTTGCTTAGAATTTTTGTATTGGCAAGTCTCCTCATTAATAATGAGATTATCTGATACTTTGGGCCTAATTGGGAGTCTGTGTGATTCCTACATCTCCTGAGAAAGGGTAGGGAGCTGGTCAGTCATCTTGAGCATCGTGACCCTATAGATTTGTTGCAGAAAGCTCAGTTCTCATCCCCAATGCCAATGTATTAACGAGGACACAATTTTGAGAAAAATGAAAAAGGTTTATTGCTTTGCTAGCAAAGGAGAAACACAGGGGACTCCTGTCCCAAAGGCTGTGTCCTACCCATCTGCAGGAATAGGGAGCTTTTATAGTAGTAATTCAGAGAAAATGAAATTAGGGAGGAGAGATCAGGGAGAAGTTTAGGGAAAAGAAGATTGGGAAAAAGAAAAATCTAAGTTTCAAAGCCACAAGGGATATAGTCAAAACATCAAGTGAGGGCTGGGGCTGTAGCTCAGTGGCAGAGCTCTTGCCTAGCATGGGTGAGGCCCTGGGTTTAATCCTTAGCACCACATAAAAATAAACAGATAAAATAAAAAATTCTGTCCATCTATAACTACAAAAAAAAAATCAAATGAACCCCTGTTACAGATTCTTGGGCTGCTTCTCAGATCAACCCCTCATATCACCCTCATCCCCATCCCAGGAGCCGAATGGTCCTAAGAGCCACTGAAGCCTTTTACCTGCTGGTGAACAACAAGAGCCTGGTCAGCATGAATGTGACCATGGCAGAGATCTACAGGGACTATAAGGATGAGGATGGCTTCGTATACATGACCTACGCCTCCCAAGAGACATTTGGTTCCTTAGCATCGGCAGACCCCAGTGACCTCGGGGACAGATCTGCAGTCCTCAATAGCCCACTTCAAGAAGAATTTGTCCTCTGAACCGTGTGCACCAGGTGCTGACGGAAGGAACTGCTTTTCTTCTGCATAGGCACTGGAGGGGCCAGAAGGGGCCAGAGATGGATGGTGCGATCAGCTCCAACCAGTGACAGCCAAGCTGTGGCCCTTCCTGGTTTATCTTTTCTGCGCTCCATGCTCTTATATTCTCTAAGAAAAATATGGGCTTTTGTTAAGTTTTATGAATAGCAACTCTCTTCTGAATAAGAAATGTTTAGCTTATATGATGGTTTTGTATGATGAGCTGGCCATATGAGTTAGGTGTCATCTGTGGTGGAGGTGAGTCTGACCTTAATGACTGACTTCACTCCCTGCGGGGAGGAATCCAATGTGGAGGTAGATTTATGGAGAACCTATGACCCATGATACACTGGTGTTGGTGAAACCAGGTGAAACCAGTGAAAATCATGATCAACTCATTTGGGGGGATCCTTATTTGTCCTTAGAAATAATATTTCCTCAGCATTTACCCTCTTTAGCTATTTCCTCTTACTTCCTTTTGTGTGTGTGTCTATGCCATACATATTCATGTCAAACTTGTAACTTCTCAATATAAAGTTATTAAAACCATCTGAGCATTTAAATCTGTGTGCCAGTCTTTATTCCAAGCACCCTTTGTGCCTTAGCTCCTTATCACAACTCTCTATGGTTAACTATTCTTATCATTTTACAGATAAGGAAGCTGAGGCCCAGAAAAAGTCAAGATCATTTTCAGATTCACACAACACAGTCCACCAGGAGGACTTGAGTTCAGGAAATCTGGTTTTTGAAGCCATGAGCCTAACTCTGTGCTACCTGAAGAGCAGTTGCTCTCCTCGATGAGCGCCTACCAATCCTTGAGCTATGCAGTGTGGGTGACACTAACACGGCCTTGGGGAGCATAGTGTCAACTGGAAGCTTCAGCAGCACTCCTTAGATGCATCAGCAGCAGCAGCAGCACAGCAAGCCATAAATGCTCCAACTGTGTTTGGAGGGAATTGGTAACATAAGGTTTTATGGGAAGTTCAGCTTGAGCTGAGTTATGAAGTGTGTATGAGAATTTTATTTAGGAAAGAGTTTTATTTATTCATATTCAGCAAACATTTATTGAGTGCTTACTTTTTGCTAAACACTATATTGGGTCCTGACAATACAACAATAAACAAAATAGGCAAAACAAAACAAACAAACAAACAAAAAACACCCCAGTCCTCCTTTAATTAAAGGCATGCACAGATTTATTGCAGTGAATCCCAATAATATGTATAATTATAATGCACCAAAAATATGAAAAAAATCCAATAAAAATAATTCTAGCAAAGAAAGACATGATATTCAAATACTTATTAAGTACAATAAAAAAGATGATGAAGATGGAGATTAGAAGATAAGAAAACAAAATGATTGGCACATGGAATTCATTATCTAGGATAGTCTAAGAAGGAATAATTTTCACTTGGATCAAAATGGTGAAAAGGAGACAGTGGTAGAGAAATAGCTTTTGTTGAAGAAGCTGAGGCTCAGAGATGGTGTGATCTCCCTAAGTGCCCTCAGCAGTGCCGTGCCTGGTGTTATCCTCAGCTCCCTTTGAGGGTCTGCTGTTCCTGTTCCAGGCTGCTCTTCTGCCAGCAGCTTTTCCCTCCTGGCTTGCCAAAGACGACAATTCCTCCAAAACTCATCCTTTGAGTCAGCTTCACCATATGCCAAGTAAAAACATCGTCTCCCGAATTTGTTCTCCAGACGAATCCTTGTTGCTTTACCTTGATCCAGTGAAGCTATTTCCCAAAGAAATCTACTTCTTAGGATTCACTTTGAACTTGATGAGGGCCCTTGGTTCCTGAATATTCACTGAACTGTCCATGGCCAGTGCTGTTCCTCTTGCTTTCAACCGTCTTCACCTCTTTGGTCTTCACTGGATCACAAAATGTGGGCTGTCCACTGAGGTATGTCCCCAGCCCTTTTTATTATTATTATTATTTTTATTTTGAGACAGGGTCCTGCTATGTTGCTGAGGCTGGCCTTGAACTTGTGATCTTCCCGCCTCCGCCTCCTGAGTTGCGGGGATTACAGGTATTCACTACTGTACCGACTGGGTGAGCTCTTGTGTTATGTTTGGTTTTTAAGATGCTCCCTGGTGTAGATCCCTCTCACACATAAACAGTGTGGAGATGTTAAGGATGTCTTCAGTTGCCTTGTTTAGGGTAGGCATTGTTTGGTCCTTAACCAAACCTCAGTGTATGAGCCCAGCAACCACTCTGTTATGCTACTCATGGAGTCTGGGCAAGGGGATTTCAGAAAGTATACAGACAGTAGCAACAGGTTTGCTCTGCTCCAACATGTTGGGGGACTCAGCTGGGAAGATCCAAATGTCTGTGAATGACTCAAAGGTCTGGGAACTGGAATCATCTGGGGGATTTTCGTTCACCTCCCTGACCCCTGGGCTGGGCTGACTTGAGGCTGGGCCCAGTTGAGATTGAGGACTGGCATGGCTCTAAGAGGCCTCTCAACATTGGGGCTGGATTCCAGGTGCAAGCATCATCAGAAGGAACATCTGGAGGCTGGGGATATGGGCCAGAGACAGCTCAGAAGTAAAGCACTTGCCTAACATATTCGAGATCCTGAATTTGATCCCCAGTACCACAAAGAAAAGAAAGATAGAAACAGCTGGAGAACATATGATCCAAGAATCCAAGACAGCAGCTGACCTGTCAGTAGGAGATGGATTTCAATCAATTTTTAGTGTGGATATTTTTTTCTTTTGTTAGCATTTACACTGTTAACTTAAAATTAATTGGCAATTTGTACTCTGAATTATGACCACTTTTAGTCTATTTTAAACTTTCTATTGAGTTTTTATTAGCTGAGTAATAATTACCCGATTCTTTGTGTTTGTTTTTTTTTCAATGAAAGATTTTCCCATGAAGATGCTTTTCTGGAGAGAAGGGGGTACCAGGGATTGAGCCCAAGGGTGTTTAATCATTGAGCAACATTCCCAGCCCTTTTTATTTTTTTATCTTGTGACAGGGTCTAACTGAGTTGCATAGGGTCTTGCTAAATTGTTGAGGCTGGCCTCAAACTTGCAATCTTCCTGCCTCAGCTTCCTGAGCCACGGGGATTACAGGCATGCACCACCACACCCAGTTTAGATGCTTTTTATTATATGGTCTTTTCCTTGTGGCTTCTGATATTCACGTTTCCCAATAGACTCTTCCAACTCCAAAATTAGGAGGTGTGTGTGTGTGTGTGTGTGTGTGTGTCTATCCAATACTCTTATTCTTTACATAATGTTTACACTTAAGTGTTTGAAGCAACTAGAATTTATTTTGGTAATAGATGCATATGCCAGGTTCCATTATTTTTCCAAATCTCTAACCTATTGTCACATGTGCATTTACTGAATAATCTCTCCATGGGTGTTTAAATTTTTTGCAACCATGTTTCTATGTCTTAGTAGCACAATAACACCAAGAAAACTCTTAAAGAACATGGACTATAACTGTTTTTAAAGAATTCCTCATTGCTCCCAGCAATGCTAAATACATCTTAGGTATTTAATATTATTAAAATATTAAAATACTAAATATTAATATTAAATATTAATTTACTTGGTGGAAAATTAGAGAAACTACAGTGTCAACTTCATAGAAAGAAAACAGAACTATTGAGTTTTGATATGAGTGACTGTTTTCATAGTGGTTTGGTCAAGCTTGGAAACCACTGATGTTTTTTGGGGGGTTCTCTTTTTGTAATCCATTAGTCACTTTCTCACCTTGATAAGTGGGCCCACATAGAAAATGCAGGTGCTTATGTAACCACAAACGTGGGATCTACAGTGCCTATACATGAGATCAGCAAACTAATGCCTATGGGCCATCTGACTTGGGGCCTATTTTTATTAATATTTGTTGGAATGCCATCATGACAATGGTAGTTATCTCTGGCTGCTTTAGGTCACAAAGGCTAGGATGAGTAGCTGTGGCAGAGACCACACAACTTATAATACCTAACATACTTGCTATTTGACCCATCATCCTGGGGGTGAAGAATGCTTTTTCTGAAGACTGGCATCATCAGCATCATCTTGCAGCTTTTAAAAAAATGTAGACTCTCAGGCCACTTCTCAGAACTACTGACTCACAATCTGCAATTTATTAATCTCTCCAGATGATTCATATGCACATTAGCGTTTGAGAAGCACTGGGCTAGTCTTCTGTGGAAGAAGCAGTCATCTTGTGTGGAAACTCCATTGCTGCTTCTGTTCCCCTCCTGTTGGAAAAGTTCCATCATGATGCTTCATCTACATCCATCTTATTTCTGGCTCAAATTCACATCAACATATTGAGCATGTACCTTGGCCTAGTACTGTATTTATAGACAGTGTGCTGTTGTAGGAAGAGCTGGGACTTTGTTATAAGATGGACTTGGGTCCAAAAGGTGGTTCTGTGATGTGCATGTAGAAAAGTATTCAATCTCTGAATCAGTTTTATCATTTGCAAAAACAAAGCAAACAACAACAAACAGAAAACTCCTAGTCTAGGCTTTAGAACAGGAAGATCTTCTGAACAGGCTATTTGGAAAGATCTGTACTCCTTTAGTTCCAAAGTTTTCTATTCATATGTTCCTCACAAGTGATAAAGTCTCAAGGGCAGCAAGTAAAAGACTACACCTGGAAGCCCAGAGACTCCAGAGGCTGAGACCTGAGGATTGCAAGTTCAAGGCCAGCCTCAGCAACATAGTGAGGCCCGAAGCAACTTAGCAACACCCTGTCTCAAAAATAAAAAGGGGCTGGGGGTGTAGCTTAGTGGTAAAGTTTCCCTGAGTTCAGTTCCTTAGTACAAACAAATAAACTATACCTGGAATTGCATTCTTCACCTCTAGCCAGCTCAAGGCTCAAGAGGCCTCTACTGAAGATTGTCAGAGCTAAATAATACCACTAGATGGCGCCAACAGAGTTCATTCGGATTAAGGTAAAAATACTTGGTTGCCAACATAAATCCTCCAGTTTATAAGGCTCTTGATGAGTTTATTTAAACTTCTGAAAAGGCCACCTCTAGCCAAAGGGAGAATCGAATAAATGTTGGGAGGAGAGTACACAGAATATTGAAATGTGTCTTCATTGACAGGAATGTCAGCTGGCCCACAAGAACTGCTGAGACCTTTGAAGAAACAGAATATTAGAAAGGAATACACAGGCTTCCAAACTTCTGGTGCTGCCATGACAATTAGTGCTCACAGATTAGGTTGTTATAAAGTGCCTAGGTGGATTATGGGAGCACATTTTGGGAGTGAGGATTCAGACCACCATGTGAGAATGAGAAGTCAGGAAAGGAATAAAACCAGAGGATTGGGGTGGGGTGGGGAGAATTTGATTGGTTGGTTTGGTTTTGTATCAGGGTTAAACCCAGGAGTGCTTAACCACTGAACAACATACCCAGAGCTTTTAATGTTTTGTTTTTGTTTTTGTTTTGAGACAGGGTCTTGCTAAATTGGTTAGGGCCCTGCTAAACTGCTAAGGCTGGCCCCAAATTTGCGATCCTGCTGCCTAGGCCTCCCGAGTCTCTGGATTACAGGCATGTGCCACCACACCAGAGAAAAGCAGAGAATT